TAATGATTTAATGCTGCTGACTGTCAGAGATGCTGTAGAAGGGGGAGTGAGTCTGAGAAAAGCTGCAGAATCCCACAGCGTGAGCAAAAGCGTCCTTGGAAGGTATGTCGCAAAGCACAGTGTCGATCCTGCAGCTCGTCTTGAGCCCAACTACAGTCATTCGAATATATTTACCGTTGACGAGGAGCAAGCCCTCAGTGAGTATGTGATGCAGTGCTCGAAGATGTTCCATGGCTTAACGCAAAAGCGACACCGTGAAATTGCCTACCAAATGACAGTTAAAAATGACAAACATTTTCCCGCCTCCTGGGCTGAAGATGAAGAAGCAGGGCGCGAGTGGATGAAGGCCTTCATGAAAAGGAACACCCAGCTGGCACTGCGGACACCTGAAGCTACATCCATTGCTCGAGCTGGAGTCTTCAACAGGCACAAAGTCGAAGAATTCTTCGGAAACCTGCCTGAGGTCCTGAAACAGACGGGAGTCTCAGGTGCGAGGATTTTAAATTTGAATGAAACTGGATTCACGACTGTACAGAAGCCTGGAAAAGTCATTGCTGAAAAGAAAGACAAGCAGGTCGGGAAGGTCACCTCTGAGGAGAGGGGTGAACTTGTCACGATGTGTGTCGCTGTGACTGCCACCGGGGCGTACCTTCCCCCTGCCTACGTCTTCCCAAGGAAGACTCCTCGGGAGAATCTGATGGCAGGCACCCCGGAAGAATCGCTGCAGCTGTGTCATAGCATCGGGTGGATGACGCCTGAAAACTTTGAGAAGGTGATGCAGCACATTGTGAAGGACCTGGGGGCAAGCAAGGGCAATCCAGTGGTCTCGGTTCTCGACAGTCACGTCAGCCATGTCAGCCTGAACGTGCTGACGTTGGCGAAGAACAGTGGAGTCCATATCGCGACTCCACCTCCTCACGCGAGTCACAGGCTCCAACTGCCCGATGTCACCGTCTTCGGTCCGATGAAGACAGGGTTCAACAAGCAGACAGACAGCTGGATGCTCCAAAACGCGCGAAAGTCCATCAAGCTTCTGAACATGGGAAAGTTCATGGGGCAGGCGCTGATCCGTTCGGTCACCCCAGCCAACATCCTGTCCGGCTTTCGAACGACAGAAATCTGGCCACTGGACACTGAAGTCCTTACCAAGGATGACTTCCTTCCCGCAGACGTGATCGACAGACCAGCTCCCTCAGCGACTGCAGGAGCGCCCGGGGAAGCTGAAGACGACACACACGAAGCGGACACAAAGCGGACACACGATGCAAACACACATGAAGCGGGCGCACACGAAGATGACACACATGAAGTGGATACACACGAAGAGGACCGTGTCGAGAGTCCGGAGCCTCCATCCCTGTCAAGGAGGCCGACTGATTCCGGTTGACCTGCAGCTGAAAAGGCCACCATTTGCAAGCAACAAGCCGGATGCAGTTCCTGGGTCGTCACGGGCTCCAGCTGAGGTCCAAGGAGGTGACCCACTCAGACCAGCATCTCCCGCAGTCCGGCCTTGTCTCACCGCAGGAATTTCGTGGATATCCAAAAGTAAGTTATTTCGTCCCAATTTCTTCCTTAAACCGATAAAGCAAGAATGACAAAGTGACATTAAACAGACCCCAGATGGCCCTTACGATCCTTAAGAAAACATTGTTCAGTATTGAACTGTCCTTTATTTTCGTGATTATAAATTTCCTTTCATTTCCACCTTTCCTGTTTGTTAATTATGTTGTAATTCCGTCAAAATATAGTTTTTTAATGGATAATTTTGTATCCCATAGGATACTCCAGTGAGCCATGTTATCCAATGCCTATGCCTATGCTCTATAACCGTATCCTTACACTTCCTGGTCTTCCATCTTTTAAGGCAGGACCCACAGTGGAGTCGAGTCGTCGAGGGCTGAAAAAGGAAAGACCATGAGAGCTACGAGTACACCAGAGCTGCAAAGAGAAGAAGAGGAAGAGGAGAAGAAGACCCCAAAGTCGCAAGCCAGACACGAGCGTGCGTCAAAGCCACTGTTCGATGCCAAGAGCAACACCGCTAACACGGAAGGTAAGAGGAGAAAGCTGGGAGGTGCAAATGACTTGCCAAAGGCTGACGATAAAGCGTCGTGTCTGTGCTGTGGGATGCAGTATAGGCTCAGCCGTGAATCGTGGATCCAATGTACAACATGCAAAAAATGGGGTGCTTGCCGTGTACCGACGCAGCAACCTGGCAGGCACAGTTTGTGGGACGTCTGCCGAGACTGATGATCCGCTCAACCACTATGATCCGATATGATCCACTGTGTCCCGGGTATCGCATTGCCTGTGCTGATTTAACGTGATTAGCGCGATGTGTAGGAAGTTTTGTGACCGTGTACGTTGCTAAATGGGTGCCTTGGACAGGTACCGATGTTGTTAGTCATGTGATCCGCTGTGTTGCCATTAGTGCGTTGGACTGTGTGGATTCAACGTGAGTAGCACGATGTTCAGGAATTCTTGTGACAGTTGCTTTGCCTGTTTTGTGTTTAGACTGCCGAGACTATGAGTCCTACGATCCGCTCTGCTACAAGTATCGCATTGGCTGTGCTGATATGTAATTATGCGCTGTGTAGGAAGTTTTCGACCGTTGTCGTTGCCTAGTATGTGCCTAGACTGCCAAGGTTGACAGTCACGTGATCCGTTGTGCTTCAAGTAGCGCATTGGCTGTGATGATTTAACGTGATTATTACGACTGCAGGTTGTGTGGCGGTGTCGTCTGGTTGTTGTGTAGACTGCCGGTATTACTACTAGCCGGATGTTATGTTAGAAATACCTTCCCGTTGTTGGCGTTCTTCTGCCACAAACAGAATGGTTATTTGGAGGTGGAAACTATATCCTGAATTCACGTTCTAAAATGTTATGTCTCAGTTTTAACACGGGATAAATTAATCTGATATGCTACCATTTTCAGCGGAAGGAAACGTTGCCCAACCATTGACAAACTCCTGAACGCAAGTAGATGGCAATGCAGTGCACTCATTTTACCATTTGCAATTTAACTATAGAACATGTAGCCAACTAGAAATGTTGTCCCAATGCTCCTTAGTATGTCCCAATTCATATTCATGTCTGTCCCGATTCTCCTGCGTGTGTCCCGTCTCCTGCAAAGGAAGGTCTTTGTTTTTGCTCCACGCGTGTCGTATCCTACCACAAAGTGAAACTTACTTATTAATATGATGTAAATAAATATCCAATTTATTTGTTAGTATGATGCAATGTTACCTAGCTTTCATACTTTTCCTGTAGTGACTCATCAAAGTTGGAGTTGCAAAAGTGTCCCAATTCTCCCGCCTCTCCCCTATTTCAATTCAGCCGGTTACTAAACAAATCACCCACCTTTCGGCGTCATAATAGCTTGGACCGCTTCCGCGATCCACTATTTTTTCTCACTCCAGTGGGTATCAGCCTTAAAAGTTGCCATTTCGCTTTGAAATTTCTAAAATTTTGGTTTGAAAACATTGAAGCTATGGTAATTAAAGTATTTGGAGAGTATGATAACGCGAGAAATCGTTTTGTTTATTAACAATCAAATATGATGAATTATGTCGATGCTGTAAGCAACAGATAAAGACGCGTATCAATTAGATAAAGAAAACAAAATGTGTTGCACATTCTAATAAACAAACTGACAACATAAAAGCCGTTTCCTTGGCGACGCAGATGTACACTCTTCTCATTGCGTGTCTTCAATCACGTTCCGTGAGTTCTCGTCCACAAATGTGCGGAAAAAATGTGAGAGACTGGGAGGAATAGCTTGCCAACAAAAGCTAAAGAAATGTTGATCATGGATTTTTATCGGTGGATACAGGACTACGGTTGGCGTCTGCCCCCCAGACAAGCTTTAGGTCCTATGCCTATTACCGCCACCAGCCCGGAAATGATTGCTTGCGGACGCCAATGAACGAATGTGCTCGCCTCAGCTGTACGGACTTTGGTGCATACTTGGCTTTGCCTAGATAAAGTAACCAAATTACCAAAGCTTAGTTAATGCACAGCATCTATGTTGCTTGGATTTGTAGAGAGCTCTGGAACGCCTGAATGTGATTAGTATGTGCGCGCAACTCTTATCAGGAAACATAGGAACGCGTCAGCACAGACACTCTCTAGTCCTGTCTGACAAGAAGGTCGCACGGAAAATTACGCGATGAATTAGATCGGCTTGTTCCTGTGCTTGGGTTCAGGCGTAACGCAACAAGCTCCGTATTGTAAGTACTATGAACACTAAACCACCCTTAAAGAGCATAGAAGTACGGCCCGGTCTGGCAGCGTTGGAGCAGATGTGGAATAACGAGGAAGCGTGGAAGACGTGCAAGTGCGTGGAGCGATGAGTCAAAATGGTGTCTTGATTTGAAAAGCAAGATCTTAATCCAAACCTGTAGCTGTAATGCCGAGCCACTTCACCAGTTACCAGGCCTCACGTGTCGGTCGCAAGCCGAGTGTGTAAATTTGAAAAATTGATCTGAAATAATGAAAAGGCTTGAGTAGCGTTCGTTTTTACCGGTACTTAGCTGCTGTCAGAGGTCTGGGTCCCCGCCCAGGTCCCCAGGTCCCATTGCATACCACTCGCTGAAAAAAACATGCTACCCGTTATTGTATTATCTACAGGCATATCCCGTCGCTTAAGCTCTAATTTGAGCCTTGAATTGTTTGATCAAAAGCCGTTTTGAGTTCGATCTGGCCCACTGGAAGATGCAAAATTCGTGGGCTGAATTTCAATCTCAATATTGAAGGCATTATCAGACCGCGAGGTGCAAACAACTAACGCAGTTGACGCACCCCTGAAACTCAATGGCTACTTAACAAAACTGAAAAACACAAGATTTGCACGTACACCATGGATTACCAAAGGGATCCAAACTTAAGCGTGTGGCATCGGTTGAAACTGGGAAACTTATTGACGTCATGACGTCATAAAGTTTCATATTCTATCCTCGGTTTTGCTGGCTGGTCCATCCTCCGTTTCTCAGTGACTTGATCAGCTGTTCAACACCTGTGTGTGGGAGGCGCTTCGCCGGTTTCGCTGAAAGCCGGTGACGCCCAGCTGTGCATCAGGTGGGTAAAGTTTCCTCCGGTGTCGTGGGTTTTATATATTCGTATACCATGAATACCTAACGCGGTCCTCGTTTGCAAAGGCAAACCCACGGTTAAGAAAACCAGGTATTGTTGGGTGATGGTAACTTTGGAAAGTAGGTTGGTGTGCGCCCTGCGCGCAAGGGCACGCGCCGCGTTTTGTGAGTCACCTCAAGAGTACAATACGGGGTTGTGGTTTTTTGATGATGCTGCCATCTTTACCATTTATATAATCTTATTAATGAAGAGCTGTCGTGATAGTCCTATTTGATGTTAACATAACCAGGCAATGTACAGCAATTGTCTGACATGCATGATACTCATGATTATCACAGATGCATGATTTTTGTTGTCTTGATCACATGTTTTTTTTGCACTTGCATTGTGGTGCTTATTGGGGGACTTATGCCTTTCCAGGCCCAATTAATCACAAACCATCCAATTTCAGCTTGGCATTCAGAGGCAACTCCCAGTGCAGTTTTTTAGGCATGCTGTGGTGGGTCATGGTTGGCACAGCAAGTTTCCAGACATCTGCTCCCTGGTTGCACCTGTCATGTGTTAAACTAAATTCTATGCACATTTTGTTCTTAATCAGATTTAGACTAGGCTCCATTGCCTGCTTAGCGAAGCCAAACTTAAAGGTGATAAACATGATGTGTGACAATCGCAATGGATTTGATTCTCATCTGAAAATCTTCAATTCACAGAATGATTCAGCCACAATTTCTGGGGTGCTAACATAATGTTATACCATTGCTCATATGACTGCATGTGGTTGTGTATTTATTTACAAGCTGCAGTGTACTCCCTGCAAGGACTTGATTCAAACTCTGAAACAAGTTCAGTTATTGTGATTATGCAGAGTCAGGTATTACATTACAAGTGAATAGGTATTCTGTTCAGGCAGTGTTGCATTCAATTTTGTACAGTCTTAATGATACTTGGGTAGTTCAGCTAACATTCATTTAATACTTAAGCCGTGGTGTTCTGGTGTAATGACTGAAGCTGATAATGGGGCATTATTTCCGCTGTCTTGTTGGTGGGGTTCGGAGAGCTGCCTTCTGGTGTGCCAATTTATCTATTTTTTTTTATGTAGTCAACTGATGGAATGCCTGATAACATTTAAATGTGAAGAGGGCTGGAGGGATAGCTGATTCCATTTGAATGAGGAGAGGTTCATTCCCTGCCCCCTCTGGCATGTAACACTGTCAGCATTGTTCCAACCAGGCTGATAAAATCTCTTAGTGTTTTCTAACTTGTTAGTTTGGCATGCTGTGAGAGAATTTTGGCACCCTGTTTGACTCAGAGGCAGGTCCGAGCTGGGTTTGTGGTGGAAGCATTCAAGAACAATTCAGTCTTTTCAGGTGTATGCATTAGAGGATTATCAAATACAGCCTTTTGAGGGCTGTTTTCCTCTGAGCAGGTGAAGGGCATTTGCAAGAGGGCAATGCCCTAACACTGGGCATACAGATAAATGCATTGCTTGATAACTTGAATAGTATCTGTAAGGCTTCTGCCAGAAGGAGCCATAGGCCCTGTTTGGGTGGGAGTCAACCCAGTTGGGGATGGGACAACTTGGGTCCCCAACTTTGGGAAGGAATTGGGCTAAATTCAGGAGAAATGCTGTTTGTGTATTTTGATGGTAGATCTTTTCATTTCTTTTTTCTGTTCAGCCTCATATGTTGTGACACATATGTTGTGAAACTAAGCCCCTACTGGGCTTAATATGTTTAGTGACCAATATACAGATATTGCAGAGGCAGATGAAACTGGTGAAAATTGTGGATTCAGGGAAGGTGTGCAGTGAGGTTGAGAGTGAGAGTAAGAGGAAGAGTGAGAGTGTGGGTGAGAGTGTGGGTGATGGTGAGAGTGAAAGTGAGAAAGAGAGTGATGGTAAGGGTGAGAGCTTGGATTTCAATCAGGCCAATTGAGACTACATGGGTATTGACAGTCATATGGCATTGACATCCAGACAGCCAGGCCGGTACCACAATACTGGAAGATTGACAGTTATATGCGTGCATCTCCCCATGTCACCTAAAATTGATTCCCCCTTTAAAGATTTGTATATCTCATAGCTGCCACTGGTCTAAAGCACTGTCACTGTTGGTGACAAATTTGTTTATTTGTTTATTTTCTGTTTACCAACAGAATGGCGCTCTTTCAACCTCGGAAGTTGTGTACATAAGATGAGTAAATACACAGTACATAGTAGAATGAACATAAAGAATGGATGACTTGGCTCATAATGGCAATTTGGGCTTTGGGGCACACCAACTACATTGGCCATATGCTGTCCATGATGGCATGTCTCAAAGCTAAGTGAAGATGCTATTGAGTTAAAGCCCTCTTCATCACTTGAATACCTAAACTGCCAGGAGAAACATCTGTGTTACTGTTGCCACCAAAAAGTGTTCACATCTCTTAGCAGTCTACAAAACTGACAGCTCGGTACTGTTCACACACGAGCGCGAGGTACAGCGAACGGAGTTCGAGTGCGGGTCGATCGGGGCGGCACAAAGAAGGGGAAACAGCTGAACAAGTTTGGGAGTCCGGTTTGCCGTGGACGATACTTTTGAGAAGGAGTAGACCGTGCTAATTTGGATATTTGGATTAGAGCCCTTTCGACCAGAAGTGATCATTTCGGGATTATGGGATGAAAGCATAATGGATAACGGTGGGTCAGAACCGCATGCGCCTGGGGGGCCAACCACCAGGCCTTAGTCCGCACAGGACACGCCTGCAGGATGTGCGCTGGGGGCCCGGTCGGGGTCCCCCTCCAGGAGCCTCTCGGCCCGCTCGTGACTGATGCATGCAGCCTGCCCCGAACAAGCGGGGCGTCGCGGGGATGCAGGACGAAGCAGAAAAGAGGATAAGAGGGTCGGCTAAATGAAATCATGTTCCACTCTTTGTGGTGCTGGAGATGAGACTTTTAAAGGAAGCAGAAGGCTGGCATAAGAGAGAGGAGCTTTTTGCCCGGAGAATGTGTGAGTAAGTAACCAAATAATAAACTTTTGTTGCACTTGGTCGACCCGCGCTTTGAAAATGCCCCCCCCCCCCCCTGCCCCCCCGTCCAGATCACGTTACAATAGTCTAAAAATCGATTGCACGTCTGCAAAACGCATAGCCAACCATTGCGTTTTGGTTGAATTTTGACCTGCTGGTACCAAATTGGAAGGCCCAAACGGAGATCAAGTGGTCGCTTGCCCTGATTGCCTTTGTCAGACACATGTGAAGTGAAGGTTAGTTTGGCATCCAGCTTTGCGCCGGGGGCCCCAAGTTTACAGACATGCTCAGGCTCAGCTGCATCGGTAAAGTACTGGGTCCGGACGGAAGCACGCCTGAGGTTGGTCGCAAACGTTTTACATTTTGCTCGCTTGAGGACCAGCCCCCACCTGACCGACCACGCCACCATGTGATAAGGGATCCTCCTGCAGGAGGAGGCCGTCAGCCGGGGACGTTGTTAAGGGATTTTTTTCATCAACGGTATACAAACGGCAGCCGGCTATAATGACGCATGGAAGATCGTTGACATGCACTCGGATTGCGAGGGTTAAGTCGGCCCCACCCGTGAAGGCTTTCCCGGAATGGTTTCCGAATAGCACGACGTAGCCATGCCAAATTTTGCATAGATGTAGACAACTGAATATGGGATCGTTCGGTGTCAAACATGTAGATGTACCTTGTATGGTCGCTGACTTATGGCAGGTCAAAGTCATCGCTGTCGCTGCCCTCCTCCGGCCGGCACCGGCGGGATGCTCCGGGACCTTCGCAAACGAAAGGATAGACTGATAGGCGAACAGACAAGGCTGTGAAAAACCCGATTTGTTATCGATTATTCTTAAACTCAAGGTTTTTATCAATAACCTTGTTGCCAAAAATCTAGGGTGTTCGCCGAGTTCATGGGTTTGTGTTGGGCTCTTGGGGTGGACGCCGCGAAGGAGGATGGGTCCCCCTTTTCTCAATAGGAGGGGATCGCTCCCCCTAACAAAATAAAAATTTCCAGATAATTTTTTTCATTGGCATGCATACCCCCAAGATCCGTTTTGCTTTGGCCCATGTGTTTCTTTACTCGTACACATTTATTGTTATTGCTGTTCCAAAGTATGTGCACTGATTAATATTTCGACGAGCGAGGGGAGGAACTGGCCTGAGCCTGAATTGTCATGGCCAGTCTTTATGACATGAGTTAATATTTTCTAGGCATGCTGTGCTCTTAATACGAGCTCATAAAAGTAAGTTGCCACCCCCATAGACCCAGCACCTCAGGCGTGGCGTTGCAGGATCAGTTGTGGTCAGGCCGGTCGCATAGCGTGGTATATGATAGGTGTCTTTCTCGGTGCTCTGTGTAACTGCCAGCGCTGCGGTACGGCCGGCCTGCAGCGCCGCCCAGCAGGCGAGTAATAATTACGCGTCGCATCAGGACCGGGCAGCGCTGCCAAGTGCCACGCACGTAAAAGTTCTCGGTTGTTTTATGAATGCCTAGTTTGCCGGGCTTAGAATCCCTATTTTTCGAAAATCGTTGATTGCATGTTGAGGCTATTCTGTGCAACCATCCATCGAAATTTGCATAAGAATATTCCATCCATGATTAAGGAGTTTTGTTGTGACTTATCAATGTTCATCAATCAACGTTTTATCGTGCTTTGTCTTCCTGACTTTGGCCAAGAAGAACTGAAAATAGTCAGGCGAAAGGATTCATTCTCATAAAAAGAAAACGCACCCAGAAAAAGTAACATAAAAACCCAGGTGTGCTATATTTTGTTAAAAAATCAGCGTCTGGTCCATGACAGTTCTGATATAAATTAAATGTAAAGTGTAAATGCGAATGCAGTAGTGACTCGAGTAAACCTTATTCAGAATCCACTCAGGTATTCAACGAAGTTTCATTAAGTACGTTGGCTGTGTTCAATGCTGACAAAGTTGGTGAGGGTTGTCTAGTTACCGGGTACCCCTGTCTCCTCCCTGTGGCGGGCGATGTCGTTGGCCTGTCCCCTCCCAGTAGCGGGCGATCCTGTTGGCCTGTCCCTCCCAGTAGCGGGCGATCCTGTTGGTATGTCCCCCTCCCTGTGACGAGTGATGCCGCTAGCCTGTCCCTCTCTGTGGCGCGCGATGCTGCTGGTCTGTCTGATTTCCCCAGCCGTTATGCTCAGCATCAATCAGCCATTGCGTGGCTCTATTTCTGATGGCCAAGTGCGTGGCCGGGCCGCGCTATTTTGTGCGCGTCGGTACCTGACGTGCGGAGTGCGCAGTGGCGGAGGGGTCGGTCGGTGGCGGCCGGAGCCCGGGTGGGCGCCCGCGCGCTCTCGACCGCGTGGCGGGCGTGAGTTTAGCTGTAAGACAGGTGACCTGCGCATGTGAAGACCCGCAAGTCCTCTTGTCCCTTGTGCGTTCCTTTCGCGACGACGTGCCTCGTAGTTGGCGCGAGGATCACGTCTCCTGCGCGGCTCCTGCGTCGCGGAGATGCCGGTCGTAGTGTTTTATGTGTGGTTTTTGTCCCAGATGTAACCTGTGGTGGATGTCGGCCACGCGCCGGGGCCTTGGTGGGCTGTGCTTGCTGTGCCGGCTTTGGGGCTGTATGGACCTTCGTTTTTCACCTTCAGTGAATGCAGCGCAGCTCAGGGGCGATGCCAGGAAGCCATTTAACCAGATTGGTCGTAACCTCCACCTAGTGGGTTTTTTAATGCAGCGCTTTCGTATCAAACGACGAACGCGACTTTGTCATCCAGTTGTCAGCTCAATGGTGCGAGGTACTTGTATCATATACGATCGAGATCTTTTCTTTTGGGAAAACGAATCTGCCAGATCTATTTTGTGCGTTGGATGACGTCAACTGATCCTTCTACGTCACGCTGTGGGTGCTGGTCAGTGGGAATCACAACTTACATGAAATGCTACGAGTATTGCACTCCAAGAAAATCTTGTCCCACATGTTATGAAGACTGACCATCTGCCAATTCAGGCTCAGGCCGTGTCCTCTACTGGCTGGTTGAAACACAAATTAAGTGTGCATCTTTTGAAATACGTGATAAAATGAAGTGTGTGCAAGTTAAGAAAACATGTGGATCCCATACAAAGCGTATTTCGGTGGTTTACAAGGGAAGCAAGTGAGCCGAGTAAGCCCGAGAATCGAGGTTCTACCGGCATAATTCGATTTGGGCGTGATATGGGCATTGACTGCCAACAGTAGGTGAGATATTTGTAGGAACACCAAGCAGCGTCCAGGTTACTAAGGGACGTGTCTGCCAATGTTCCTGTTTCACTTCACCCCTCGCGGTCATCAAATGGGTAGGATCCCTGATCGTGCGACCCTGTGGTCTGCGTCAGCAAAACGTCGGGCTAATGTGAACACTAACGACCAAGGCACCCAACGCAAGCGGCAGTGAAGTAGGCCGCCGGCTGCGTGTGGTAAACGGACCGAAGCATGTCAACATATCGCGGTTACAGGGCGGCCGGCCGCAAGGCCGCCTGCCTGCTGCGAAACCGAATCTGCGGCCGGACAAGGACCGAATCCCCGGCCGGATACAAACGGAATTTCCTGGTCAGATACGGACTGAATTTCCCGGCCGGATACGGACAAAATTCCCCGAACGAATACGGACCGAATCCCCGACCGGATACGGACCGATTCCCTGGCCGGATACGGACCGAATCTCCGGCCGGATACGGACCGTACCTCTGGCCGGATAAGGGCCACATTCTTCGGTTGGAAACGGACTGAATCCCCAGGCAGATACGGACCGAATCCCCGGTCGGATATTGACCGAATTCCCGGATCGGATACGGACCGAGTCTCCAGCTGGATACGGACCGAATTCCCTGACTGGATATGGACCGAATCTCGGGGACGGTACGGCCCGAATCTCCGGCCGGATGCGGACCGAGTCTCCGACCGGATGCGGACCGAATCTCCGACCGGATACGGAACGGATCCCGGTCCACACTGGGACGAACTCCCGGGGCCGGACATGGGACAGCCTCCCCAGCTGGACATGGGACAGTCTCCTCAGCTGGACGTAGGGCAGCCTCCTCAGCTGGGCATGAGACAACCTTGCCATTCGGGCGCGGGACAGCCTCCACGGCGGGACGTGGAACAGCCTCCCCGAGCGAACGCGGTACTAAATATCCGGCCTGCGTGGAAAACTTGCGCTTCTGGGACCTCTTCATTGTCTTGTAGCAGTTTGATCTCAGATTGCACCGGGCCATCTGGACTCCTCGTCCAGATGGTTGCCTCGTCTAGTGTGTTTGTGTAATGTAATACACCAAAACGAGAGCAGTAGTCCTAACAATTCCATCCGGTAGGCATTTGCTTACATCGAGTTTGAAGTACGCGCCACGCTTGGCTGCCAGCTAATCTTGGAGAATTCTCCAGAACATTTATGTTTTTCGGAATGGCATTTGGCACTGCGAGCACAGGTTATTCCACTAGTTGTCGCAAAAAAATTCAGGCCAAGGGCAAATCTCGAATAATTTTCGGAAACTGGTCAAGGTGGGAAGTCATTTCTTCGTCGTGCTTGGCTATTACCCTTTAACTATGCGTGGCGGACCCGTGTGGAAATTAGGGGATGATTTCAGCGGTTTCCTGAAAATGGAAAATTTCAGTAGATGGCTATGAGGGATAATTATTCGTTGAATAATTTTATTGCGGCTGAACGCGCCTTTTCCTAGGCTGGTTATGGTTTAGGGGGTTGCATCAGGGCGTTGAATTTGTGTCACTTATTTGCAAGCTATTGATTATTTGTCAGCCAAGTATACATACTTCTTGAAGCTTTTGCTGTGTTTGACTTTTCAAAAAGCATTACCAAGGATGTATGTGAAAACTGGTTTTACATTGTTTAACCCTGTAGGAGTTAGTGATATAATTGAATAACTGAATTTCCTTCGGGCAGCTTTGTTCTGCTTAATGGTTATCAAAATGAGGTGCGCATTTACGCTGTGGTTGACCCGTCTGCCTTCCGAAAATTACGTGCAGTGATGACTAGTCCGCAGCATTCATTGCAGGTTTTGTGCGTGACTGCTTCCAGTTAGGTCACTGTCCCTTAAATCGTAAACAGGAAACTGATGTTTCACCGGGCTCCGTTCTTCACATGTTACGTCTGCATTCTGGGATCTAGGGCGCCGACGACGATAAGCTAAAGTAATTTTCGAATTTGTTGTGCGCTGGCATGCACGGTGTCTGGAAGAACGCCGTGACCCTGGCCCGTCCACGCCGCCGTCGCCACCGGGCGCCGCCGAATGTCATTGTTTTGTCGCCAGGCGGCAGCAGCGGCGCGACGCGCGATGTCGTCCGGTGACGGGCCCGGAGGCCCGGCGCCCGGCGGCCCCCCATCCGACGAGCTGGAGCTGATCACGGTCGGCTCCGGCAACGGCGACCCGAGCCGCCACCCGCCGCAGGCGCAGAAGGTAAACTGCGTCTGGAGGCTGTCGCCAATGCACGAGGCAAGTGGGCGCTCACGCTTGGGTGCCGTTTTCGACTCCTTTCGTCTGGCGGTGGTGGATCTGTGGGCGGCGGTGCTGCTCGTGTATGTATGCGGATGCGTGCGCTCATCCGGCGGGGTCTGCTTAATCATAACGCGACGCTTGCCGCTGCACACTAACTAACTAGAAGCAGTTTTGCAGGACAGTAATGTGCTTAATATATGCATGATGTAACGAACATTTTAACTGTGTGTGAAGAGTAAGTGTGGGTTTGACGTGACATTTGTGGTTTGAAGGCATGCATTTAACTTACTGATGAAGACGTGGCTGGTGTTGTCGTCGTTTTTGACCACTACTTTGCGGACACAACCTTTGAGAAGCGGACAAAAAAGGAGCGGGCTGAAGATCCTGGGAGTTTGTGTCAACGGTCTTAGGCTATATGATTTTAACGTTAGACGTTTAGAACAGGCCAGACATTTTGAACCCAAAATTATGTGCAGATGTGTCCGCCGTAAAACATGACATCAGATAACGCTAAGTTGCGCTCATTCATATCGAGCAAACAGTGGGCATTGCTTGACACACTTGGCGAGAAATAAACCAACCGCCTGTCGCCATATCGATGATCGTTTTCATCTCACACTAGTTGTGCTTTAAAGATGACTATTTCCACGCATCATAATATTGTACCGGTGCACGTAACATGTGGGACAATCATCGTTGCCATCTGTCACTTCGACTGTCTCACTGGGCCGATGACACATGGAGTAGACCGAAATTAAGCAGCATTGCCCTTTGCTATTTAGGTGACTTCCAAGAAAACCGGAAAATGAGTTCGTTTTTAGATGGCTCACCTCGGCTCTTCAGGACCACATCCCTGCATGATTGGGGACAGAACAACTGGCGTTAAGCAAAGCTTATATGCGTGAAAACCAAATGATTCATGCCCAGACATAATAAAGTCGCTAGAAAATGGCGGCCGGGATGACTTGAAATGTTAGAAATAACTAGTTCTACCGTCCGTCGGCTGATGATCGTATTCCACAAGGCTTGCGAATAGTTAAGACAGTATTAATAACCTTTTTCCTCGTAGAATAACCAGCAGAATTAACAGATACACACACACACACACACACACACACACACATATATATATATATATATATATATATATATATATATATATATATATATATATATATTATGTATGTTCATTCTGTTTTCTACCGGCAATAAGGTTATTAATATTGTCTTATGTATATGCATAACGTTTATCGCAAATGCACTTAACAACTTACGTTAATACCTGCAAACTATCCAGATAAAATGTACGGTCGATTTGAGGTGGTAATTTTTATTGTACAACATGTCGAATGATATGACTAATGAATTAATGTGTCATGTTGTGTTTGGTCAATTGTGACTGGTCATTTTACATCACGGAGCGGGCCCATAGAAGAAAGAGGATTAACAGCATGCAAGGGAGAACGATTTTGAGATATATAAATCCTCAAAGCAAAAGACAGCGTTCAAATTCGCCACGCGTCTCCGGTACATAGTTGGTTTGAGTCGTTTGCATTAACAGCACTCCATTCAAGAGTTACTGATTCGTTGTTTGACGAAAGTTGCGCAGGTGTTCTAAACTGTCTTGCGCGCTTTAGCGTCTTTATTGGTCGTCTAGCGTTGCATTTATAATAGCCGCAAAGATGATGTTCAAGTATTTTGAGCAGCATATTAGCAACAGGACGAACATCATTCAATTTGTACGGCATTAATGCGTCCTATGGTGTCATTTTATGCTGGGTTAGATGTTACTCTTACTTAAGTTATCACTTACATTGCTCCTCTTGGATGCGCGTTTTCAACTTGTGCATTTGGTTATGTCAAATAGCATACTCTGTAGATTTATGAATTGGTATCAGTGTGGATTCTGCCGATGGGTTAAAGTGACCCGCAATGTTGAACCGCTCTTCAGATGACCGTTCATAGCTGCATGTGTTTGGTGCGGGATGTGACGTCAAGTCGCCTGAGTATAGAATAGCATCGTGTGTGACCCCGCCAACGCGGTTGATTGCCTGATGATAATGAATTGGTTGTCCACAGTATCTGCCTGACCAGTACTTTCGAGATGGAATAAGGAAGATCGATTTTGTTCTGGTGCGAACCAGCACCAAAGAAGATGACTGTGATATCAACCACGAGTCGCGCCACGGTGTATATGAGGAGAATTTGGTGCGTGGTGACGGCACGGTTCGCTGTGTCATTTATCGTGATCATCTGATATTTTCTTTAAAAGAAGTGTTTGTGTGTGTGTTGGTTAAGATTGTTCAGCATGAGAGAGTAATTAACGATATGTAAATGTGTGATGGAAGCCTGGGGTATCGTGCTTCGATGGCACGTGCCGTTCAATTGTTGATCAGGAGGCATGTTTAGTAGCAGTCAACGGCGTGTGGATAGTTGGTGTGCGCTCATCAAGCCTTCAAGCACAGCTGGCGGCGCCGATTGCAATGACTAATCCCACTTGTCACGGCCGAAGGTCAAACCAAGCGGACCCTTTCGCACGCGTCCGTTGCGCGTGCCTAGCCTACACCTGTTGACGCAACTGGTCCAAACGATACCACGTGTTCACGTGCCATATGTGCGGAGGCCGTGCAGGATTGGGCGGGTATTGTCACCGTCCCGCCCGAGGCCCGGTTCTGAGATGGGTCTGGGCGTGTGTCCATATAAGCGGTCCGCTGGTCTGTACAGAGGAAGGAGGGTCTCCACCTCGAGGAGGACACGATTGACGAGAGCAGTCCGCTGACCTTTGTCAAGATCCACACGCCATGGGAGGTGCTTCGGCGGTATGCCGAGATCCTGAAGGTTCGGATGCCGATGAAGGAGGTGAGACTGGTGGGGTTCCAGTGTGTGTGTGTGGGGGGGGGGGGGGGCGTTAGCCGACGCGCGTGGGGATGGGGGAGCTGGCCGCAGCAGCTCATAGTCTCTAGCCTTGAAAGTGCGCCTTATTCTGCAGGCGAGTGCAGCAGCACGTGCTGACCAACACAGTGACTCATACGGCCGTGCCTGCCTTGCCGCACACGAGTCCATGGCCTCTTCACTTATTCAGCAATGGTAGAGAGTGTGATCATGGGTCGAGCTATGGGCGAACTGCTGAAAGCCTTCAGCTGATTGCGCTGCTCCTGCTGGGCTGCTTGTCTGACGTACAGTATTTTCGGACGTCGATGCATGATATCTTTGCGGACTGATAGTGCAGTCGGTAGCGGCCGGGGATGTGTGTTCGGCGGCATTCGTTGTGCGCGGCGTGTTGGTGCGCCGGCGGCGGCGGCCGTGCGCGCTGACCGAGATCGTGCGCGCAGCCGGCCGGACTGAGCGCCGACGAGGACTTCCTCAAGAAGGTGCCCGTCATCCGCGAGATCACCACCCTCGTGAACATCGTCGACAAGGGCATGTTCGGCGTCAACCCGAGGAAGTTCCCGCCCAAGAACAAGTACCTGACCGGTGTCTACAGCAGGGACCGAGAGTACCTGTGAGTTGTGGAGCCGTCGTCATCTGGGTGTAATATGAGCGTGTTGGCGCCATGGTATGGCTAGAACGGTTTGAAGCCAGGGCTTGCCAGACCGGCATGAGCCAGGTTGAGCCGCTCTTCCATTATAGAGTGGAGTTTTTAGCGCTCAGCACATTGCACAGCACATGCCAGCTAATTACAGACAATACTCCTGCACATCCTGTACCGATCTGTACTGTATTCCTGCGCTGTACAGTTATGCGTAATTTGATGTCCTTCACAACCGCCAAGCCAGTTTTGTATTCTTGCGCGAGTATGTGGTAGAAGCGCGGTTCTCTTCAGCACATGCTAGCTGATTCCATTGAATGCATAGCCTACTTGGTTTGAACTGGCTTATCCCATCGTTAGTATGCGGTAGTGCCCCAACATTCGGCCACTCGGGTGGCAGGGATGTCAATATTGTTCACGCTCTACACCCCCGGTTTGGGTGTCACTGCCTGCTGCCCTCCCATGGCTCAAAATCAGCCAATCAGCATCGAGGCTGTCAACCCAGTGTCTAAGTGCCTCAGGCTTGACAAATGGGCCGGTCAGGTCAGATGTCTGGCTTCGGGGTGAAGGGGCGACGGATTAGTGCCAACGTATCGCGGGGCCGCCGGAGAGCCAGAGTTGTTGTAGCGCGAATTCATATTTTTCTCCTGCACACCCTACTGGATGAATTTTGGAACTGTGTGATGCGTGCTTCTTCATGTTGGGTCGTTGTCAGCTTAGCCCAAACATTGCGTAGTGCACTGTTGCTCTGCACGTTTAACAATATGCACATTTAAACGCGACCATAAGCAGACCTGTGAAGGCATGTTGGCGGCCGCATGGTAGACGTTACCTCGCGTATGCACTTCCTCGTCAATTCTTATATTTCTTGTTACAGGTTTGACATGTCCGAAGACTTCTTCACCCCGGCTGTTCGCGCACGCGTGGTGTCTTTCATTTTGAAGCGGAAGTGGTTTGTAAAGCAGGTCACCACCCAGCAGCCAAAAATGGACTTCGGCATCGACAAACTGCTGTCGGACAAGACGTATTTGGCCAGCTACGCCCCACACGAGGTGAGCGGCGGCGGGCTAGCTCCGATCCCTCCGCGGGGCGAGCGGCTGCCAGCAGAGCTCCAAGGTCCGCTGTTGACACGGACGCGTCTGGCGCCGTGTCGACACCTGATCGGGCTCAGACGGCGGCAGTGGCCGACAGATCCGCGCGCCTCCCGCTGTCAGAGGCGTCGTCCGACAGCGCTGCCCTGCAGCGCGCCGGCGCCGTCCGCACCCGGTGCGGGCGGGTCATGTTGGAGTGGAGCGCCGTCGTCGGCTGACGGCCGGACGCTGTCGGTGGCTTGGCAGCGGTCGACTCACCGCCCATCCGTGACCACTGGCCTGTGAGCTGTGGTCTGTGACGCGTGATCTGTGACCCATGATTTGTGCCTAGATGTATGACGCATGGCCTGTGACCCGTGATCTTTGACCTGTGGTCTAAGACCCGTGATCTTTGACCTGTGATCTAAGACCCGTGATCTGTGACTCGTGATCCGTGACCCATGATCTGTGATCCGTGATCTGTGACCCGTGATCCGTAATCCGTGATTTGTGACTCGTCATTATGTTCGGCGTCCGCGTCACTCGTGATCTGTGACCCATGATCCATGTGCTATGACCTGTGACCTATGGTCTGTGACTCTCAATCCGTGATTAGATCTGTTATCTATCATTTGCGATCTGTGACCCATGATCTGTGACCCGCGATCTGCGACCTGTGACCTGTGACTCATGACCTGTGACCTGCCATTTGTAACCGGTGATCGGTGACTCGTTTTAGGGCGACTACAAGCGGCGGGGCAACGCGCGCGCCCTGCTCTACTACGAGTGGGCCTCCCTGCGCAAATTTTACCGGCACCAGCCGCTCGACTACGTGGAGGACTACTTCGGCGTCAAGATCGGCATGTACTTCGCCTGGCTGGGCTTCTACACATATGCCCTCATCCCGCCGGCCATCGTCGGCATCATCTGCTTCCTCTACGGCATCATCACGCTTTACGACGACGTGCCCACGTAAGGAGACAGTGGCAGCCGGGTCGCGTGCTCGCTGGGGGACGCTGTTGCCCGTCCCAGGCTGGTCCTGTTGAGAAAACTGCTTGGTGTGGCATTCGGCCCACCAGAGCGGCCGACCACCTGGGTTCGGACGTGTACACGACTGTTAACGGGACTCAACGCACAGGGCTTTTCGTGTCGTCGCTGGAAACGGCTGAGCCTGGCTGCTTCGGTGATCCGCCAGGATTTATTTATGCGGTGCTGATGGCGAAAAGTAATGGGCACACGCCAGTATGTCTCTGTGTTGTGTTGCTTGAACGTCATTCGCATAACGCCCATTTCCGCCCAGAAACGACATCTGCGAGAACAAGGACGTCCTGATGTGCCCGATCTGTGACGTGTTCTGCGACTTCTGGCGGCTGAATGAGACGTGTGTGCACTCGCGGGTCACCTACCTCGTTGACAATCCGTCCACGCTCTTCTTCGCCATCTTCATGTCCTTCTGGGGTGCGTCGTCTGCCGCTTGCCAGTGGTCTGATGTCCTGGTACTTGGCGGGGGTTTCCAGATATGCATGATTTGCTGATTGCTTTCTGCGGGAGTGCTGTGCATTTTGCTTGACGATTAGTCCGTTGATTACCGTTTGCTCTGTTTAGTTCGGATGGAGCGCGGTGCTTGTGCCATCAGGGGCTGCAGCGTCATCTGAATCACATTTGACAGTCATATGAAGATAAGTATGAGTCAAAGCTTTGAGACTGGTCGATGTGGATGTGACACATCCCTGGTGGCAGCCGTCGAAATAACCGGCGAGTGTCTGTCCAGCCGCGCTGTTCCTGGAGTTTTGGAAGCGCTACTCCGCCGAGATTACCCACCGCTGGGACCTGACTGGTTTCGACGTGAAGGAGGAGCACCCGCGGCCGGAGTACCTCACCAAGCTGAAGGACCTGAGACAGGAGGTGAGTGCGTCATCAAGCTCAAGGATCTCAGACAGGAGGTGAGTGCCTCACCAAGCCGAAGGATCTCGGACAGGAGGTGAGTACCCTCGTCAAGCTGAAGGACCTAAGACAGGAGGCGAGTGCCTCACCTAGCTGAAGGACCTGAGACAGGAGGTGAGTGCCTCATCAAGCTGAATGGCCTCAGACAGGGGGTGAGTGCCCCATCAAGCTGAAGGACCTGAGACAGGAGGTGAGTGCCTCACCAAGCTGAAGGACCTGAGACAGGAGGTTAGTACCTCATTAAGCTGAAGGACCTCAAACAGGAGGTGACTGCCTCATCAAGCTGAAGAACCTCAGACAGGAGGTGAGTACCTCACCGAGCTGAAGGGCCTCAGACAGGAATTGAGCACCTTTCCAAGCCGAAGAAACTCTGAAAGGAGGTACGTACATCGCTGGGCTGGGGGGTTTTCCCACGAAAAGTGGTTACCCCGCGACCTGGTAGAACTTAAGGCGAGAGGTAAGTATCTATCAAGCTGATGGACCGGAGGCAGGTGGTGAGAACCGTACCAAACTGAGGGATCTCGGACTGAAGTCTCAGTAAACAGGATCTCTATTATGGTGTATCAAGGGTCAAGGATCTCAAGGACACGCGCCTCCGTTGAATGCAGCGCACCATGGAAAAGGGATGCGGGGTAGATGTGAGCGCCGAGTCAGCGTTCATGACTTCGGGGATGTAGGTGGATGCGATTATATTTTTTGACAGGAGAAAACTGTCATCTCAGTAACCTTCCAGTCCTATTTATCGCACAAAAGTGGGCGCCCATTTCCGAGTCGGTGAGCTCGACACACATGCGTTGGACGTCGTTCTTGCTGCGCGACAAAAATGCCACCGAGAGAGGTTTCCCCATATTCGTTCGCTTGACGACTTCCGCGATCGAAATATTTCGCAACCAAGCTTTTACTCACAAAACTCCTGCCATAGCTAGGTGCGTTTATCTAAGCATGCGTTGGCATCTACATTTACATGTCTAAGCCTTTAATGTTTAAAAACCGTTCAGGTGAAAATTTTCATTTGATTGACTATTCAGGCAGGCGGAAACAGGAGAAGGAACAGTTTTGCCGAACAAACATGGGTTGGTTGGGTTGTAATTAAGTTTTACTCGACACGGCCGCCTCGTGCGTGCCAGAGTTCTGTTTACATGACTTTCTAACTGCATACGTTTCGTCCATACAAGCAATGAAGTGTCGAAGCTTTACCCGTTACGCGGGGTGCTTACAATGCCGCGTCAAAATTGTATCCATTTAGCAGTCGTGACGGTTTCTTTGTCCTAGTTTCATCTCATAGAGTTTGTGGTCATAGTTTCATCGGGACGACAGTGGAGTCGGGAATTTGTTATATGCATGTGTTCTTGTAGCACTTTGATACAATTATTAATACATGATGGTTTCGTTGGCCCCAGTTTTCAGTGCAGTAGTAAAGATGTAGAGTATCTGTAGTAGTCATTGTCTAGCGGTAAGCCTTGCCGCGTCGCATTGTGGCTTAAGGACAAGAAAGCTCCCGTTACAGTCCTGGCATGTGGCAGGTGATGTCCGTAAACGTGTGGTCGGTGGGATTCGCGTCATAGACGTTGTCAGTAGCGGCTTCGACCGCAGGGTTTGCGTTTGAGCCGTCAGCAGTGGGGTCTAAACGCTGTGATCACGCCTGATGTCGTTGCAAACAGTGCGATGAATTCCTATCTTACCAGATCGCTCTCCTCAGGTGAACGTGGTAACGAAGCAGCTGGAGCCGCATGTCAGCTTCTGGAAGATGCGGTTCCCGCGGATCATGCTGAGCGTCTCCATCGTTCTCCTGCTGGTGCGTCGGTACAGACATCTGCCTGATATGCATCTTCTCGATCAGCTATCGCCTGATCTGCCGCGCTTTAGCATAATAACTTGTTCATCACAAAGCAATGGCGTGTGTGCTATCGTCGTGTACTATCGTGCGGCTGGTGCGGGTGTGACGGCGGCGAGCACGGACCGCGGCGGGGACTGTGAGCCGGACTCTGGCCCCGGCCGCAGATCACCGTGGCCATCGCCATCATCATCGGCGTGGTGTTGTACCGGCTGTCGGTGCTGGCCTCGCTGGCCTACTGGAAGGACGACTACGTCAGCAGCTACGCCATGCTCTTCACCAACGCCACCGCGGCCACCATCAACCTGGTGATCGTGCTGCTGCTGAATCAGGTTGGAAACTTTAGGGTCAGCCAAGATGACAAGTAGCGTTATGTTAAAAGGTCCTCTGCTCACTTCAAAACTCTCGAGCACAGATCTTGTCGGGTTCTGGACACGCTTAACTGTACTAGATTTTGCGTTTTGAAGTTCTCAATTCAGCTTTCCAGCTTCGAGGAATGTACATATTCTGCACAGCGATGTGACGAATCCCCCACCTCTTTGGCGCGCAGTCCCAAGTCTGCCTCTCACGTTGTACTCGTCTGCAAGCTTGCATGGTAGCAACTGTGCGACCGCTTTGGAGCCACCGATGCGTCTGGCGCCATAAGCTGAAACAGGCCGATTGGGGACTGTTTGACCGGACCTGGCCCATGTTGGACCGGACGCCAGTGACCCGGTTTGTACGTGATCTAACATGATTTGGTCGGACTCCGGCCTGACATGGCCTGATCTGATCTGACCTGACCTGACCTGACCTGACCTGCGCTCAGGTGTATGACCGGCTGGCTGAGTACCTGACGGACCTGGAGCTGCCCCGCACCCAGTCTGAGTACGACGACAGCCTCACCCTCAAGATCTACCTGCTGCAGTTCATCAACTACTACGCGTCCATCTTCTACATCGCCTTCTTCAAGGGCCGCTTCCACGGCTACCCGGGGAAGTACAACCGTATCGCTGGCTTCCGTCAGGAGGAGGTGAGAACTGCGACGGAGCGGGGCCGCCCGCCGCGGTGGGTCCTCGGGTTCTCGCCGTCGCCGCCGGAGCCGGTCACTCCGTCATGCTCATTAGCACTTGTGGGGTGGTGCGCATGCCTTGTGCTGTGTTGAACTGATCCATGACGTCAAATGTGCATCTGGCTGTGCTGTCCTGAGTTGTCCGCAAGCATGTCCATTTGAGGTGTGGGCTACGTTTGAAAGATCAGGACGAAGGTGCTCTGTTGTTTCGTTGTGAGAAGGTTTGCCGCGGTCAGAAGCTGGCGTCATCCGTTAGGTCTTAACTCGCGGTGGCCACAGCACTGACGAGCCATGCCGGTGACTGTGCCCGGTGACTGCTCCCGTGCCAGCAGTCGGCGTTGTCTGTATGTGTGTGTGTGTGTGTGTCCCGGCGCTGACGGTCGGCCGCGTGTCCCGCGTCTCCTGCGACAGTGCGGTCCGGGCGGCTGTCTGTATGTTCTGTGTGTGTGTGTGTCGCGGCGCTGACGGCCGGCCGCGTGTCCCGCGTCTCCTGCGACAGTGCGGCCCGGGCGGCTGTCTGTTGGAGCTCACCATGCAGCTGGCCATCATCATGGTGGGCAAGCAGGCGCTGCTCACCATTTGGGAGATGGTGCTGCCGTGAGTAGTGCGCCGCCGGCCGGACGCCGGCCTGGTGCTCAGACGATGATTGGGTGTGAAGGAGAAACATATGGGAACGCGCGCTGGTGTAGCTCTGCTGCCGCCGGCTGTGGTCAGCGTCATGGCTTTGGAAAATTTGACGTCGCTGGTAGCACTGGTCAATGACCTGAGTGGTGTATTCGCAGCACACGAAGAATGCTCTATTGCACGTGACGTCACGTATAATTTTTTCCGGACTTTGTCGCAGCGCGACTCGCTTTCTGTTTATATCGTCGTGACTGTCGTGACAGTAGCTGCGCGTTCGAAGACGAGATTTTCGTGGAAAGCGAAACTGCAAGTTATGCTCGTTGCAACATGTGAAACGCCTTTTTATCAGTTGTGGTCGGTCGTGGGCACAAGAGTGAACCTTGTAATTGAATGTGCTTTGTGTCATTTTTTTGTCTCATTTTGATCGATTCGCGGAAAAGTCGTCGCCGCCAGCCGACACTACGAACGAAAGCGGTAATTTTCCGTTGCCCTGCATTAGTGAGGATGCATGTCCACAGCTTTTCCATATCACAGTTGTCTTCCCTTCTGAAAAAGTCGGAAGGTGGGAAAAACATTTTGCTTGAGTCCAATACCTTCCAGGCGTAATGCTGGTCGCGCTGGCTCGGATTCCTTAAGCTCATCCGTGCTGTACAGCCTGCACTAGCTATGCGAACAGTGCTGATTAAGGAGGTACAGCAGTGTAGCTATCATTGCCGGAATGTGGCCCCTGACGATGTGCTCTGGCTTGTTGGTGTAGCGCTGTCATCACTGTCTTCCGCCCCCCCCCCCCCCCCGCCAGTCCTTGTCCGCAAAGGAACTAGCTGGGGCCATGACGGGCCGTGGTGCGCTCCACTGGGACGGCAGACGAGCTTGTACCTCACGTGTGCCGTGAGGTAAACTTTCGGTGCAAACTCGCCGCTTTCCTCGTGTTCCCAATGCAGCCGCTGTCCCCAGCCCGGATATCCGGTACAGCTGCCGTGTCCAGTCCTGACGTCCACTGCTTCCCCAACGTTGACATCCCCTGGCCCCTGGTCCGCTGGCCCCTGGTCCTGACCCCTTGGCGATGGGTGGCCCCTGACGCTGTCGTTCGCGACTCGGGCAGGAAGCTGTTCACCTGGATCGGGGACCTGAGCAAGCTGCTGACCCAAAGGAAGGAGGACGACCGCGTGCTGCCCCGCTGGGCGGCCGACTTCCGGCTGCTCGACTGGGGGCCTCAGAGCCTCTTCTGGGAGTACCTGGAAATGGGTGAGGACTCGCCGGGCGCCAGAGCGCCAACAGCACGCGTTCTAGGCGTTTGGTCGTGTGCGTTTTATGTATGAACAGAATGTGAGGAGCCTGTGTTGATTCATACTCATTAACTTTAGTAGATATAGTTTTCTCCTGGTTTTTCTCCGAGGAATAATATTATTACTTCTGTGTTATCCACGTGAATAATGTTCCTCTCTAAAGCACTGAAAAACTTAACTTTAGTAGGTTTGAACATCCCGTTAGACACTGGGATCCCTGATGTTACTGGAACGAAAGTAGTTATGTGCTTTACCTGTTGATGCATGTCTTTGTGATCGAATCATACGCTTGATCATATCTTATGATTGTTGGATTTGTATCAGGTATGTTGTATTTCCGTCCCGCCGCCGCTGTTACCGGCTTCCACTACTGATTCATTACTGGTTTCGTTCGAGCGGTGTGAGCTTGTATATGCTTCCACTCTCGGGATGCTAGATTGTGTTCGCACGCACTGAACACATCGAACGCGCATACTGTTGCTGGTAACAGCCGACCCCTGCTGGCTGTAGACCGGTGCTTGACCATAGCTTATATTGGCCGGCGTTGCTAACACCAGGTGACTGCCGGCGCTAGCCGGACATAAAATATCGCGTATTTTATCACCACCTCACTGTGTCATGCCGATGCGCTGACTGTAATCAGCAGAGCGCGGGCGGGCTACACTCCTGCACAGCTCTGGTGTCCGTGCCCGGTCCCTGGGGCGGCTTTGTCCAACGCCTAGCTCCCTCGCCTCCGCAGTGATCCAGTTCGGCTTCGTCACCATCTTCGTGGCGTCGTTCCCGCTGGCACCGCTGTTCGCCATCCTCAACAATGTGCTGGAGATGCGGCTAGACGCGCGCAAGCTGCTCTCGTTCTACCGGCGGCCAGTGGGCCAGCGTGTCCGCGACATAGGCATCTGGTACCGCATTCTCAACACCGTCGGCAAGCTGGCCGTACTTAGCAACGTAAGTCTGCCAGGACCGCGGCGTCGGGGACAGAACGGCCGGGACGGCGGACCGGGAACGGAACGGCCGGCACCGCGGCGTCGGGGATGGAACGGCCTCGGCCGCGGCCGGAATTGCGGCACCGATAACGGAACGGCCTCGGCCGCGGTCGGAACTGCACTGGGCACGGAACGGCCCAGACCGCGGCGCCGGAGATGGAACGGTCTCGGCCGCGGTCGGGCTCGTGTGCGCCAGACGAGCTGGTTCTGGGCGCGATGCACTCGCAGATACTGTGTCTTCCCCATGGCCTCTCAGGGCATGCTGCGACCCTGTGCCTGTTGAATCCGCGGACCGTGACCGCGTGGTCATCGGGCGGCCCTTAGCAGCCGTGCAGCCCACGTACTGTCTTGGCGTGACCGGGGCAGGTGCTGGGCCTGCGGTCTCCGGCTGCTGTGCGTGGGCTTGCTCGGCCGGGTCCGCCGGCTAACCGGTGCTCGTGCCCCGGCCAGGCCTTCATCATCGGCTTCACGTCCAACTTCATCCCACGGCTGGTCTACCAGATGAGGGTCAGCGAGAACGGCACGCTCGCCGGCTACATGAACCACAGCCTGGCCGTGTTCCGCGTGGCTGACTTCCCGGAGCGCTACCGGCCCGTGGTTGACAACGCGACGCGCATCGATACGTGCAGGTCGGTTGGCTGGTGGCGCTGGATGGTTGGTGGCGCTGGATTTGCGGTAAGGTGTTTGATCTACGTAGTGTGGTCCTGCGGGCGTCAGGTGGCTGATGTTTCTCTAGTAGAGACGTGATACAAAAATCACGCCTCGGCTAATAAAGACATTGTTCAAAGGTGTAAAAACGCCACTCGCAAAGCAAAACCGCTACTGCAGCCACTAAATGAGATGATTGTTTGCGGGGCTGCTAGGTCTACGAAATGCCAAACGTAAACGACATACGCCGCTGTGGATGCGCGGCGGGGTGGTGGCGTGGCCGTAAGAGTGCTTGAGGTCCGCACGAAGATAAGGAGGTAACGATACTGGGAAAGGTGAGCGAATTGCACATAGTCTTTCTTCACGCACTTGCAAGTGCGTGACTCTGGTCAGATTGCCACCAACGGATCCCCTCAAAATAAATGCTTGGAGTTTGATACAAAGGTGCTCTTTCCGGCCTATCCACATCAAGTGAGGAACAGTGAAGAGAGTAGAGACAAAGAGGCGCGCAGTTACCCTCAGTTATTCATGAAAACAAACCTGTTCAGACCACATGGGTGCAGTTTCACAAAACTGGTCTGGGAAGAAGCGATGAGCAGTGAAAAATAGCATCAATTACGCCAATTTGCGCCAACAAATAGGTTTCTCCGTGGAGTTGCCGCGATCATCTTCGCAGAGATTGAGCGGCGGGAGCGCCAGTGGAGAGGAGGGGAGCGCTATAGTAGTGCGCTCCGCGGTTGCATGCTGCTCATCTTTCTGTGCGCGACTGTCGCAGGTCGGCGACCTAGCGCTGGTGGGAATCCAGTGGCGCCCATGGAATGCCCGTTGTTCAGCACACACTAAACCTCGTGTGAGATATTTGTGCGTGTGTGTTTGTGTGTGTGTCTTGTACGCGCCACAAGACGCCATAACTTTCTTGGCGCCACTCGATACAGATAGCCCGGCAGGGGCGTAGCTTCACAAAATAAGTTCGGGCTAAGCGTTGGGATTTACGAAATTTCCCCACAAAATACGTCGCCAAACTAGTTTTCCACGGACTTGACCAGCTTTCTTTGCGAAGTTGAGGGCCTGATGTTAATCAACGTTGTTTATTTTTCGGCCCCCTTATTTGTTCTGGTCCTGTTCCACTTTGCATGTTGACAGCTCCACGGGTTCGGGTTGGGGGTCTCGCGGACAAAATTGGGCCTCCTCGCAGCCGGAGCCTCCTGGGCCTCCTACGCGGCGGCGTAATCAAGAGCGAGGGGCACCGAAAGCATGTGCCCCCTTATCAAACTCTTACATATAGCGTGTCCCAAGAATATATATGTAATCAGTTCAGGAGGGCCTCCAGATCTAGCCAGTGGGCCTCACTATCCCAAAGCAGGGCATACTGATTCGGAACCGTAGCCATCTCATGCATGGAAGGTATCTCCTGTTCCAGACATTGGACCTCCTGAATAAAGAGGGTGCCTTCAAAGCCAGAACAGGGCCTCCTAGATTGTAACGGGGTCTCCTAAGCCAGCAAAGGGCCCTCCTTTGTACAACATTGGGCATCTTGACATCGGACACTGGCTGCCTTCGTCTTAAAAGCACCCTTATGACTCAAACGGATCTTTTGATGTAGCAAATGGTCTTACATGCCCGATTTATTGTCCTCTAGTTGAGTTATTGGGGCCTCTTTTTTCTGAGTTTTGGTATTATACATGCAACTACAATGTTCAGTTAGTTGAGAAAAATTGGGTTCTCTTCCACCCAAAAAAAGAAATGGAACAGGGGAACTGTTGCTCTGCTGCCTGCTGGAAGGCTGAGGTCAGCTACTTCCCCCTGCTGCCCCACCCCCCCCCCCCCCCCCCCACCCCTCCTTGGACAGCATGTATCTTCACGCACGTCACTTCAGGGTTTAATGCGTTTGTATCGCGTGCGCCAACTTTTATGTTTACAGCATTAGTTGCCTGAGAGCACAGTAAGAAAACAAGTTGGTAGCTCGGCAGCACATTTGTGCCAGGAGTTTTTTTTTACTTATTGGGGAAATACGCGAGATGCGGCCGGTCTGTTGGGCGAGTGTGTGGATGTCGTGCACCAGTGGTGTGGGCGTTGGGTCCGTTGGCAGTGGTACTCAGCGGTAGTCGCTGACCAATCGCCGTGTCCGTCTTGTTCTGTTCCGCCCGCCGGCCGGGGCCTTGTCACCGACATCACGTAGCGTGTGCTGCCGCCTGGTGACAGGTACCTGGACTACCGGCTGGGCCCGGACGCGGCCGATCCGTACGCACCGGACACGCTCTACTGGCACGTGCTGGCCGCTCGGCTCATCTTCGTGCTGATTATTCGAGGTGAGAGCGCCAGCTGGCGGCCGCTCAGCGCTGCGGTTGCGGCTCCGGCCGCGGCTGCTCACCTGACCCGCTCCGGTCTCATCGACACCCAGCCACCCTGCAGTGTTCGACTGACTGTGTCAGTGGTACGCCCGTCTCGCAGTCGGCATACGGTGCGCCTTTGGGGACGGGTCAGCTGTTGTCAGCAGGCGTATTGCGGAGACGCTCGGTGGAAAGGTGGGCGGGTTGACTGCGGGCGTCATCGGCTCGGGACCTGCCCGCCGCCGGCTGCCCGGCACGCAGTCTCAGTGGAAGGGTGGGCGGGCTGACTGCGCGTCAGCGGCTCGGGATCTGCCCGCCGCCGGGTGCCCGGCACGCAGTCTCAGTGGAAGGGTGGGTGGGCTGACTGTGCGCGTCATCGGCTCGGGACCTGCCCGCCGCCGGGTGCCCGGCACGCAGTCTCAGTGGCGGCTTCGTGTTCCAGAATGTGGTGTACGTGATCATGCAGCTGATCTGCTGGATCACGCCCGACATCCCGCGCAAGCTGAAGGAGCGCATCCAGCAGGAGAACTACCTGGTGCAGGTACGACCCGGCGGTCTGGCCGGGACAGGATGGATGGGGCCCTCTCCCCGCGGTGGGCTGGGGCGCGCGGACAGGGCGTGTGCCCCCGGGCGTGCGCCACCCGTGCCGCTTGTGAGCGTACTGCGCCGGGTTACGCGGTGACGGGTCAGGGACGGCATATCACAGCGCCGACACTCAGTGCTCCAAACGCGATTGTGTTCTCACGACTGGTCAGTGACGCTGACCGAGCGGTCTGTGATAAGGTGAGCGCATGTGGCGCTGTGATGAGTCGTGATGTAGTTGTCACATGGTTCTAAACACCTCTAGATGGCGATGTTGGGCCGGTAAGGAGTTCGTCAAGTTGTGGCTATCCGGCACATTCTCTCGTTTGCAATGCGTAACTAGTTTTTATTTGTTTCGCGTCCTGTATTGTTAGCTATTTAGGGGGCCAAAAGCAGACAATCACCGCAGACATCCGCTTCATTGTCACTGTATGATATTTATGCGGAGGACCTGGCTAACGGGGGGGGGTCTTCTTACATCGCTTCATGCATCCTCTTGTGCTGCGTTTGCCTGGCTTCGAAATTTGCCAGTGCTTCTCTGGCTCAGTTTGAGGTTTTATGATGCGTTCTCTGTGAGTCGTTCTCACGTGTAATCGATTCATGCGTTTCGCAACGCTGGCTTTATGTGAATGGCTCGCGGTTTCGAGTCGCGCAACTGGACTGTGGAGGCTTACTGCACTTTAAAGCATTGCTCGCTTTGCTGTCGGCCGCCTGAAGCCCATTTAAAGCAGCAGGCTGCCCGCGCATTGCCTCTTGCCAGCTGGTGTCCATGCGTTGGAAACACCGTTTGACGCCTCCGTGTCTCTCATATTAACCAAATCGTTTCATTGAGTCACCCTAGAAGTTGGATCCATTTGTAGGCATACCATTTCCTGACAATAACGGCACCGCGTCATAAATGCCTCAGGTATTTTTGATGCATGATGGGGGGGGGGGGGGGAGAACTGGTCGGTGGCGAGAGACGCGGGGCTTGTCAGCCGGCCGTCCCGTCACCGACGGCCGTCTGACCGCCCGTCCGCCCGCCCGCCCGTCCGCCCCGGCAGGAGATGATCGTCGAGATGGAGCTTTACCGGGCGCGGGGCGAGGACCCCAGCAATCTGGGCTGCACCCTGCTGCAGCGACTGGTCGGCGACCCCGAGGTAGGTCGAGGTCGTGACCGCACTGGAACCTCAGATGGCGGTGCCTCCCGTGCGGTTCCGTTACTGGCTCGGTCGGTGCGGCAGTCACCGCTTGGTCCCTTTAGATTCTCTAACGGTGTTGTAGATAGCTGCGACCGATGCGAGCCGGTGATCTCACGTGTTACGTGCATCCGGGTTGTGAATTTTGACGAGCACTCTGTTCTCCCGCGTAGCTAAGTCTCACGGGATAATGGGCATTCGGGTCTGAAAGCGCTGCTTTGAGAACGTTCGTGAGTACGCAGCGGCCGTGGCCGCCGGGCGTGTCGTGACCTGCTTGTGCAGCTGCTTGTACAGCTGGGCCCCGCAGCTGGCGCCGGCCTGCCGGCAAACACTGACACCTAGCACAGGCCGAGCTGTACCAAGTTTTGGCCGGGCTTGATAACCGTGCTGAGGGTCTGTCCTCGTGTGTGCCGGTGCGTGCCGGCAAAGTCGCAGCCCAAGGGTCGCCGCGACACCCGGTACCGTTCTACGATGTTCCGTGTACCAAAACACGTCGGTACAAACGGCTCGTAATTATTAATTAGTCCAAATTCGCTTTAACACCGCCCACGTTTGAGGTAGAACTTAGTTCCTGCACTGCCCTATTGCAGGAAAAGTTTAATGTTCTAAACCTGAACCAGGCGCTTTAAAATTGGATGCGACTTTCCATGCATGGCACTACTCTTCGTAACTATGGTGCGGTGGCAAACAATGCTTATCCAGACAGTTGAGTCCTGCGTGTAAAATACTACTTCGCACGTGACGGTCTCATTTAATTAAATTCGTAGTCACAACCATGCAATAAGCATGAGGCACACGTGGTTTGTGCCAATGGTAGCCCCCCCCCCCCCCCCCGGGGATGAAAGGTGGCCATTTTGGATGGAATCAGTAGGTTGGCATAAACCATTGAGCAGATAAGATCACAATCACCTCATACGGCAGATCTGCGTTGTTCGTTGTTGTTTCCCCTTTAATTTGACTTGAAATAACCTAGGGTTGAAATGCATTGGGTACAAAGTGGTTGTTGCCTCGGAATATGCAGACCACGTTATTTCAATGTTTCGCAGTAATTGTCACGCGTAGTGGAGTATGCGCAAGTTCAGCAGCCCATAGGTTTGGAGCAACCCATAGGTTTGGGCTTTGTCACCATCGGGCAGCTCTCTGTTCGGCTGAATCACGCAGTGAAAAACTATAGGCATGATTCCTTGAGAAGCGGCACAGTTCAACGTGCCCATGAGCTCCCTAAGCAGGTCCTCTCGCCAACGTCAAAAATGCTGACAGGCATGTTCAAAAGAGGCAGCTAGTTGTAAGGGCACAAGAAGGCCAGGCATTGGCATGCACGCGTTGGTTTTGTAAACTGCAAGGGAGTTGGGTAGAACTTTCCACTAAATGGAAGGATATGGCAAAAAGCTGGGAACGGCATAGGATTTGTATTAATGTTGTATCATGTCAGGCGTTAAGTGTGGTGTCAATTTTTTCTACGTTTGCGTGGTCGCCCCCCCCCCCCCCCCCCCCACACCACCTCCGCTGCCTGCTTCTACGCCAATGCTGTCCCCTTCCGATCATTAAAGCCATGGCATCGGAGATTCCATTTTGTCGATTGTATTTGCCCCTCATGACACTGGTTTTCTTGTAGCTGCCCCTCTCCGCCGCCCACTGCCGTCAAATCCCAAGGCCATTCTCAAGCATGCGAGCCATCAGTTCGTGACGCTGTCTTCCAACGCCAACGCAACGCAGCGCAACGCACAACGCCGAACGTCAACGCAAATTGGCCAATCTCGTTTAAGTGTGCTTGCCAAGTCTTTCCGATATCTAACTGTGTATTTGAAGGAGCATCAAAAAATGCCGGAAGTCTAAATTTAGGTTCGAGTCTTTTTGAGTTACAATATAGATGGAAGATAAAAACGAGGCAAATCACATGCACATTGAGCAAGTTTTTTCGACGTTCCAAAACAGGAGTAGATATCACAGATATCGCATCGAGGTGAAGAACAACGGGTATAGGATTTCAATTTCACTACCGGTTCTTGGCGAAGCGGAAAGGCCAGGATAAATGTGCGGTGACTCATGTATGCGGGTAGTGATATGAAAAGCGAGCATTGGAATGCCGTCATTTTCTTTTTGTAGGCGGCATTGCCGGGTGAACGAACCTTGTCGCTTGCAAAAGGACAGCTGTAAGCGCGCAGGATGAATGGTGCATTGACTCCCCAGTTCATAGTTGCGTTCGGTCAGTGATGGATCGATCATGTCGAAATCAGACGTGATATGCATCTGTTCAAATTACTCCATGTGTGCTTCTTGTCAGGCATGCTGTGACTAACGACTGTGACTAATCAGACTGCGACTAAGACGTGCCGGTTTTGCTCGTCAGGGTGCGCTGAAATGTTCGCGCGCATTTGCCGCCCTCTTACACACATGTGCTATCTTCCACTGAGCATTGGCGCGAGGTACCGTCTGTAGCGATGTTCTGGGTAAGAAGCCATTCCGCTGGAAGCTCGTTTGACGTGTGTTTTCATGGAACCTCCACGAAATACTGAATTGGGTGAGATTAATTTCCACGGAGTTGGCAATTTTCGTCCCTGCCGGCGCGCATCCATGCATATTTTCCGGCCCCCTAAGCGGGTTAACTGGCGCGTGCTTGCATTTCAGCATATGAAGCCTTTCGCTGAGAGGTCCATGCTGATGGCCGAGCCCACTGAGCGTCAGGCGGTGTCCCGCAACTCGAGCGGCACGGAGAAGGATCACATCTCGGACTACGAGTCAGCCATTCTGACGTGAGCGCCGTCTGCGGACGCGGCGGTCAACTGTGGTGTCGCCGGAGCCCGCTGTGTGTCGCGACGATGGATCCCGCCGATGCAGCTGTCGCTGTCTCGTACGCCGAGTTGGCAGTTTGCACGCTCCGTGGCGCGGCCTGTTTTCCATTTTTTAATACCTTGTCGCAGTAGGTCCGGCGGACGCACAACACGGATACGTGCAGGCCATGTGTAGCAGCCGCCGTCACTACGCTACGATTCTGTGATGGGTTTTGCTGCTCAACGGTCTGTGTTCTGTCCATAGCTGTACCAACCGACATTGTGATTAAGCCCGTAGAACGTCGTGTGCGCTGTTGAAAGACGCTTGGTATGCAGTGTCAGTGCGGGGCAGCGGTTGGCGTTGGAGACGGTTGGCGTAGGCCTGCGACAGAAGCGCTTTCGTTCGCCTCGCTGAGGCCGGGTGTTAGGGCAGCGCTGCGTGTTGTGCTACAGCGGGACTCGGTTTCGTCGTTGGTGCCTTTCGATCCCATCGTGCAATGTTCGTGCGTGTGTTGCTATGTGTAAGCAGCTCTGGGCGTGGCGGTGCACTGGCTCTGCCCCTTGTCTGCCATTGCCGTTGTCGTTGGAGGATTCGCGATGAAGACTGGGTATTTCTCGTGCTTTGGCTACTGCGTTATCTCCTTCTTAAGGTTTATTGTTCTCGCGTAGTTGGTGTGCAGGGTGGGTGCCGGCCAAAGAATGGTTCAACAGCAGCCATGGACTTCTAGTCGGATCTGATTTAACAGGGCACCCTTTCGCTGCCTCGAACTGGCTTTTCACGTCACCATGCAGCATTGCGTCTGGCCGCACCAGCCGTTTATCAGTCACACAACCTCCGCCTGATCTGTCTCGCATTTTTATTGGTGTAGTTTTACATTTTCCACGGCGCACATCTCTCAACCCGCCTGCGAGGCACGTCGTGTCCACGTGGCCTCGCGCACGGGCCGCCCGTGACAGACGGGGCCCACGGCAGTGATGGCGTGTCTTCCTGCGCGGGTTCGGGTGTTGGCGTTGATTCTCGCCGCCGATGCAGGCGCGTGTTTGAGCGCGTGGATGCGGGCGCGGGCGGGTGTTTTAACAAAGCTCGCGGCGTCTCTGGGAGCGATGGCGGAAGGCTCGCGCAGAGGCGGCGGGCGCCGGAACTGCTTTGCTCACCATGCGGCTCTTGTCCGGATTGTTGTCCTGCGCTTGTGTTCGGCGCGAATATGACGACCGTCTAATATAACCGTCTAATATCTAATATAACGGTTGCGAACGTGTGTGCTCGTCCCGTCGCCGCGTCAAGCGCTCCGGCTGGCAACAGAGCTCACATAGGACCGTTTGAACACACCAGGAAGGGCTAAACTCGCGAGGTGTCGGATCCACGTCAGGTAGGTTATCTGGTAAGCGGCGACCCTCCATCCCGGCGGTGAAATGAGTCGGGTCTGAGCCGTATTGGTCAGAGCTCAGCAAATTTCAGCTGGTAAGCGTGGACACGTAAGGGTGGGAAATCATGCGGCGGTATTTAGGGTGGAAACGGTTTTTTTCGGGTCTGTCTGTCTGTCGAAACCCTTGTGTCTGAACTGCATGACACAGACTGTATGTGTCGGGCAGGTCTGTGTCAAGCAGGCATGTGACATACCTATCTGACGTTTCAAAGCGGCTTCTCGCTTATTTGGGTGTTCTTTTTTAATAGCTAGGAACAGCAACCTCACCTAAAAAAGCTTGTCCAGTACAGAATGTATGCACCTGCTGCGTCTCCAGTACCTGCCTGAACCGTTTTTAAAGGCCTGGTCAGGCGTGAGCTGCCTACAAATCAAGGTTTTTGCTGGGGGATGCGGCCGGCTCACCGTGGGTATGGGGGGTACTTCAGGTCACTGGTGGGTGGGTATATCCCCTTCCCCCATTTAGCACGTTGAAACAGGCACTGATACGTGTCATTAAAACCTTTCGGTTTAGTCCCTTATGTTTGCGGCGGACATTCGACACATATCTGCCCAGTATGGCGTATTAACTGACAGGGCGTGAGAGCCTGAATAACTAGAATCCTTGTGATGTTCGTGTCATTTTAGCCCCCTCCCCCCCCCCCCCCCCCCCCTCCCACGTAGCTTTGGGCGGTGGTGATTTGATTTCACTCCCGAAGGTTTTTACAGCATGGTGTCCTAATGGCCCGGTTACGCAGCGCCAAACTTTGCATACTGAATGCAGTTAACAACCTCGGGTGTAGATTTCTTTGACCCCCCCCCCCTCAAGGTTTTTTCCGATATGGTTTCCGAATGGCGTCAAAGTCAATTGCTACGCCATCATTCAATCTGCTGCAACAACAGTGTTACACGGAGCCCTCTGCGGGGTACTTTTGTAGGCAACGCAACAATTGAATGAACAAATTGCACTGAACTGGCGTCAGGTATGAAACTCAGACCAAGGTCAAAACTAGCCTGTTTTAGTTCTCTAGGACTCGCTGTGTGATATAGTTCCTGGTGCTCACTTTAAATTTATTGATTACAGTAACCGCGTTATACATCTTCCATGGACTCATTTTTGAGGTCAGAATAGGTCACTGACCAAAATGACCTAGAGCAACGTATTTTGGGGGAACATACTGCCTGGCATAATCTCTGTCGCTTGTTCATATGCAAAACTCTAGGCAGTATTGTATGATTTTGGACACCGTGATCTTCCAAAGACGAAACAAGGTCAATGGCCTTAAATGAACATGTTAATTTTTGTTACAACAGGTGCCTAGGTTCTAGGGACACCTTGGACGCTAACTTGGAGTTTCTCCTTGTTTGACCGTATTTGACTCGAAGGCAATGACCTAGGAGCCTCAAACTTTGACTTCAGTGAGTTCACGTACAGGTTAAGACACTCTGTGAATTTGGTACATTTAACTGCCTTAGTTTTTGAGGGTCCCAGGAGGCCAAACTGACCCACTACTCGAGCGAAGGGTATCGAATCGGCCACCCGGTTGCGTGTTAAATAGCGAATTTGTCCAAACAAAAGAGTATATGTACCTTGTAGGGTCACTAAACTATAGCAGGTCAAAGTCAGCCCATCGCCATTAGCGGTTACAGTTTCAAGGGAATCGTTCAATCTGATAGAACAACGCGGTGGTAGACGAATCCACACTGCTCGGAGGCAGTTTCTTAGGCAACAAAACTATTGAGTTTAGAACTGCAACAACAGCAATAACAAATTTAATCGATCTACAGTCGGGTATGAAGGTCAGACCAAGGTCTAAACCGGTTTGTTTTTTACTCGAGAGCTTGCTGTGTGGGATGGTTCAGCTACCACAACCCAACACAACTTCCATTGATTTTAAAAATGCGGGGGACGTCATCAACCTTAAATGATCCCGGTCAGCTTTTTGTTTTTAGCAGCCGCTTGCGAACAATCCTTGAGCATTTTCAGATGTAAAGATCGAAACAATGTCGTAAGTCATCGTAGAAGCACGGTTACGGCTGAGTAGGCAATACGATTAACGGCTGCGTTAAACCGGCGGCGAAAACACCCACATTGGTGGCAATAATACAATTGGCGGTGGGGGTATTCAACTGACCAAATTAACCAATGTATTGAAAGTGACTATTTTGGTTACATTTCAGTCATTTTGGTGACCGGTTAATAGCGAGTCACTGCTACGCGTCCCAGGATGCAATTGAGGTCCATATGAGACAATAACAAGTGCCACGCATTTTGAGAGTAAGGAGCAGGGCCCTGTGAGGAGCAAGGCTGGAGCTGAGTCGGCAGTTAGGGATGCATGGGTTAGGGCGCAGAGCGCTAGGGGTTGGACGCGCGGAACTTGGGGATGGGAAATCTCGTAAGCGTTTGGTTTGTATGTTGGCAACGCCGGCGCGGGCCTTGCTTTCAGTAAGACGGTCCATATCAGCTAAATCTAGCAGAAAGAAACTTAAGTCCATTCCGATAATTCCGTGAGAACTGCAAATTTGTCTGTGTCTGGTGCGATAGAGCTCCCTGCTAGGACCGAGAATCAGAAGAATTACTGCGTTGTTGAAAGGATGACTATATTGCAAGCAGTTTTTCAGGAGGATGATGTTGTTCATTTGGCTGATAGCAAAGCATCATCCTCATTGCAAAATCAAACTCAAGCCCTCTGGAAGTTCTGCCAAGCTGAAAATGGTTGTGCAACATTGTCCTTTACAATATTTGAGCTTTAAAGACGATTATATAAAATTAATTTGGCATGCATTCATGCTATTTACTCATGTTCATGAAAAAGGCATGAGCTTTCCTAGCACCTACTGTGTGATGCTAGTAGATATGAAGCCTTGGACATACATTTAGCTGCAATCATGTAAAGCATGTTCCAATTGAAATACTGCAGTGTGCTAAAGCATGAGCCCCTTATTTTTGTCATGGCAGAACCCTTACAGAAGTCTAATGTGATCACTCTGCTGACCAAATACAACCCAAGTAGGTTAAAGTTATTATCTTGTATGTTTCTTCACAGTTAAGGCACAAACTACATGGTCAAAGCAATTTTTGTATTGCAATTTTATGGCAAGCAATTTTGCATATTGCAACCTGTGAGATACAATTGTTTTTGTTACTCAGTCCAATCAGATGTGACCACTGGCTGTTCCAATGTTTAGGTGAATATGTTTCTGAAAGTCACTGAACACTAACATTATGTGATTGCAGGATTCTGGAACATTGCCGAACAGTTGCCACAAATATGGTGCTCTGAGGAAGTAGTAACAAGTTGGTGGCATAGTAGTAGCAGAATAGTATGCTCTTTCAAACCTGGTCCTGCAAACAATCATCAAGCGACACTGCCAGGCGGCTGCACACATCTTCAAGGAAGTGTACGGCTGAAGCTCTTCATCATGGACAGACGCTACCTGCTGGTGCTGGGGTTGGGGCTGCTGCTTGCGCTGGGGCGGTGTCGCTGCACCCGCACTCCGGTCGGCACCAGCCACCCATGTATGGCGACTAAGAGGCACAGCGGCACTGGATGGAAGTCACGCACAAACCTGCCGCCTGTCCGACTGGGTACCACAAACACCACCGACAATGACCCTGCTTCTACTGGGGCCTCGACTATCCGCCACTCACGGCGTACCACAGCTACGTGTGCGGCGCCGTGGCCGCCTGGTTAGATCCCTCGTACGTGGCACTGCACGCGTCGCGCGGCCTCGAGACGCCCGAGCACCGGCTGTTCATGCGCAGCACGGTGCTGGTGGCGGACCTGCTGGTGTTCCTGCCGGCCGTGCTGTGGTTCGCGCTGTCGCTGTGCCGCAGCCGCAGTGTCACGCTTAACGTGCTGGCTGTGTTCGCGCTGTATCCCGGCCTTATGCTGATCGACCACGGCCACTTCCAGTACAACGGCGTGTCGCTGGGCCTGACCGTGGCGGCGGTCGCGGCGCTGGTCGGCCGCCGCGACCTGGTCGGCGCCGCGCTCTTCTCGCTGGCGCTCAACTACAAGCAGATGGAGCTGTACCACGCCATGCCGTTCTTCTGCTACCTGCTGGGTTGTGTCTGCGCCAGCGCACCTGGGCTGCCGCCGTCGGCAAGCTGACTAGGATCGGCGCCGTGGTGGTGGCCACGTTTTGGGCTCGTGTGGCTGCCGTTCTTGGTGGACGGTGAGCGGACGGCGCAAGTGGTGATCCGTCTCTTCCCGTTCAACCGCGGCTTGTTCGAAGACAAGGTGGCAAACTTCTGGTCCAGTCTGTCCGTGGCGTACAAGGTGAAGGAACTGTACGACATCGGCACAAGTTGCAAGCATGTTGCCTGTCGGCGACGGCCGTGTGCCTGATGCCCAGCAGTTTGGCGCTTCTCACAGACCCGACCGCGCACAACCTGATGCTGTCGCTACTGAACTCGGCGCTCGCTTTCTTCCTTTTCTCCTTCCAAGTGCACGAGAAAAGTATACTGCTGGCTGCTATTCCGGCCTGCATGCCTCTTCCCCGACTACCCGCTCTCGTGCTTCTGGTTCCTCACCGCTTCAACACTGAGCATGCTGCCCTTGCTGCTGAAGGACGGCCTCCTGCTCGCCACCATCGCCACCACCGTCTTCTTCATCGTAGCCGTCAACATGACGACGGGTGTGCTGGACGTGAGCCGGCGCGCCGCGGCGCCCAAGCAGCGCTCCCCGCCTCACGTCCACCAGCGGCCAGCCGACGGTCGAACCCCTGCTCGCGCTGGGCGGTGCCCGCCTTCGGCCTCTCGCTGGCCGGCTATGTGCTGCTGGGCGCAGCCGCGGCCAGTCCTTAGTCCGCCGGCGCGCTACCCGATCTCTGGGCCGTGCTCATCTCGCTCTACTCGTTCGTCCATTTTGCCGGCTTCTTCTTGTATTTTCACCTGATTCAGTTCCAGTTCTTCGACGAGAAGTTTAAGATATGCTGAACACGCAGCTTTTCTACTTTTTTAGATGGGAGACCCTTGCCGTTATGGTATTCTGTTGAGTCTTTGTCACGGACACCGCGCACGAGGGGCACGAGAGCATCGCTTGGCATATGCCGTCATTCAGATATATCCCTGTCCATGGTGCCTAAAGGCTCCCTTTTGTTAAACCGAGTGTCCACCATTGACGGGGCAGTTTTGTGTGCGACGCACTGCTAGTACCATTGTCAGAATGCAGGGCTAAATTTTCGCCAACGTTTTATTGAAATACCTGTCGGTGGGGTTTCGTGCTGCTTGCATGTCCATGGTCGGTTCCATGACGGTGCACTAGCGTGGTGCGGTTAATATCTGCAGTGTCCAAGGTCTGTGTGGCGCGATGAGATCCGTGGAGATTGAGCTGGTGAAATAGCTCGCACTGCCTTATGTTTTGGTGCAAGGTTGTGATGCCTGGGGCTGGTTTTTAATACAAACTCGCTGGGACATGTTGATGTGTGGAGTTATCAATAATAGAGGTTTTGAGCAATAGGAAATATTGCGCTGCGGGCACAATGTCGCCATAGGTGTTTTCCAGCTCCCTGTTGCGCATTGGAAACCTGAGAAGGCCCGCTGTCTTGCATAACAGTTGCATGAATTAGGTAATGGTGAATGACAGACAGCTTGGGAGGCTTAGTCATGTTACGTGGCGTTTATTCCCAGATGTGGGCGCGTCGCGCTCACATGGCCCGTCCCAGGTAACGGACCCGCAGATGAGGCCGGTGGGCCGCCTCGCAGACCGCTTCGGTCCCTCTGAATCTACGGCTCTCAATCATCTGACCCCGCGCCCTGTGGGATGTTTTGTCACCTCTCCCCCGCGAGAGGCGGCCTCAGGGCTCCCTACGATAACATAAGCAAGTAGACCCACGGGAAAACGGCATTAGTAGGCCCACGGCAAAGGGCAAAAGGAGAGGATCTCGACGAACTGCCATCAGTAGGTATGACTGAACAATGCGGCAGGTGATCTTCGTTAGGCCAAATCAGGTCATGCGAGTCACACTGCAATCATATACGGGTACGAGACACGTGACCTGCGAAAAGTCAGGCGAAACGGGCGAAGACGATCGTTACGTTGGCCGCGTCCGACTACATCAAGGGCAGGAACTAGCTATCTTCATCAATGCATGCATGTGCATGGGCTTTTCGGCCTAGGCAGCATTACAATGATACATGCAGCATGCAATGGGGAGCAACAGTGTTAGAAACGACTTTCAAAGCCGTGCACATATGTCAATAAGTTTTAAATTATGGACGTTCTGTGGGCTAAATCTGGTTGTAAATGTGAAAGTTCGACCTAGAGGACTTTGGATGACCTGACCTTGTAAAGCCGCCAGGAAGATATTGGTGTGCAGGAGTGAATTAGATGAAAATTGTATACAAAATCCCTTCGAAGTGCTTTTCCTTGCGAGAAATACGGTTTAGTTGTCTTTTTTATCAAAATGTCGCCGGCATGACCTCGAGAAAAATGAGATGAGAGCCGTCGTAGAAGGAAGGTTCGACTTTCACAAATGCATAAAAATTATGTAAACCTATCACTCACCAATTCTAGCTGTGTGCTCAAAACGGTTTAGGAGTTCGGAAAACTTAATGAGACCTCACAAGTCAAGTACCTCCTAAGCGCCCTTTGGCCTTGAGCGGAGCGTGACAGGCTATCCTGGCATTTTAAAAGCTCCCAGACTTTTTCGAGCCATTTCGCACCATGTGAACCGTACTTCATCTCGGACCGTTTGACCGTACCTGGAAACATTGGCTGCCTTTCAGCCTCTGGCCCGTCTTAGCACCCTTCGACTAGAGCAGAACCATTGCGCTCATTGGCCTGGGGTCAAAATAGAAATCTGACATTCTGATCCTGTCACCACCAATGCTTGAGTACCGTGAGGAAAGTGAGGTGCTCTGTTCTCAACACAGATGGCCAAGGATAGTGGATAGTGGTACCAGTGCAACACGCCCCGTGATGACGGCTACGCTCGTCCCGTGTGTGTGCAAACCAGCTGGCCCGGCGAGCGCTTGGGTGCGAAATTACAGCTCGCTGCACCCGTCGTTCACGAAATGTTATGAACTTCCACAGTGAACGTCACAGGCAAGCGCTGCGTGAATACTTTCAAACCACGCTAGGTAGCATATTAAGGTACCCTTTCCCTGTTAGCTACTTGTCGAGACTGATAAAAAGCCGATATGTCCTGCCCTGGTGGGAGATACTGGTCATAGGGTGAAGAACAGCGACGGATGTGGATACGTGGCCCAAGAGTCGTCCAGTGCATCTATCTCGCGAAGAAGTGCGTGTCCGCCCGGCAGCTGTCAACATCAGTGCGCCGTTTTTGGTGACTTCAGATCGCTCTGACATCGGCGCAGCCCATCCAATCGATCTGTGGTATCAGGGGCGGCACCATGGGTCTTACGTCAGGTGGCCAGGATTTTCTAGGGGCCTCGTGGACAAAGTGGGGCCTACTCTGGGGTTGCCCCTTTGCAGAGTCGTATACAAGGGGGAGGGTCACTGAGGATATGTGCCCCATTATCATACTGTTAGGTACATGTATCATATTCTTAAAAAGGGTTTCAATAATTTAAAAAATTGGGATGGGGCTGTGATTTTTCAGCGAAGAGTATCGCTGTCCTAACATGGGGCCTTTTGTTCCAAAAAGGGCCTCCTAATCCTGAACAGGATGCTTTCGATTCACGAAGGGGGCCTCCAAATCTAGCCAAGGGACCTGGTGATCCCAAAACAGGACATCCTGATCGGGAACTGCGGTCATCTGATACATGAAGGAAAGCGGTGTGTCGTTCTGCTGTCAATAAATATCATCCAAATCAAGCATGACGTTTGATTCCAAGGACATTTACGGCTAGCCGGCTTCCAGCAGGTAGCTCGTTGATATGATCAGTTGGTTGCTGGTGACTAATGTAGAGGTTTTGCTTTGACTGTGATGAAGGAGTACAAAATATTTCGGCATTCAAATTGTGTTAAGAACGTAAAGCGCAAGTAAAATACGTAAAACAAATTAGATATCCGACGGAAATAATCTATACGACATGGGCGGCGCGTAAAAAAATTATGTTCAGCAATCGCTAAGGCCAAGGCGTCTAGGAAATTCGTCATCGCGTATATCTCGGCCTTGTGTGGGTGAAGTAATGTAGCCAGGCCCGTACACACGAGCGGGCGGAACGCCCTGGCGCCCGCAAACGCGTGTGGCTTTCGGCAACACAGGAACTGAGATGGGCCCAAGCAACAGCACAGGGCCTTCCGAGCAAGTGGAAAGAAACTGAGACTAATGTGAACGGTTCCTGAGCATCCGAGAGCATCCTAACAGGTTGACGTAAGGGCCCCGCAATAGGGTGTAGACTCTTACAGAGCCTGTCGGGCGAATTGGAGGGCTCCTTGGAGGGCTCTCCGTGGAGGGCCGTGGAGGAGTCGATCAAGATTGCTCCGGTACGTTAGCGCATACACAGCCCAACAGCAGCGTAAGACCCTCCGAGAAAGATGCAAATGGATCAAAGGCAACATGGAAGGCTCTTTAGCGGTCAAATTGACCCGGCAAATGGTTACATAGAGCTTCGCCAGCAGTGTAGGGCCTCTGGACGGTGTCATATCTCACTCAATCCCCATCTTCTCAATAAGAAAAAGCTATTTTCGCCAGCTCACCGGCCCTTTTCTTTTGCTTGCGACTGTTCTTGGTCGCCGTGAGGCCAAAGATGTCTAATTTTGTCGTGCGTTGTGTTAAAAACTGTGTCTGTTCGGTCGGATATGGGCCCTTTCGGAGCCTATGGGTCTCTTCGGAGCCACTGGGCCTCTTCAGGGTCCAAGGAGGAGAGGCAATGCCATTTGCCCCGCCTCTTCTGGATCCGCCCGTGGCCCGAATAGCTTGATACGCACTCGGATGAAGGCTCCATTTGACCCCTCCGCAAAGGGTTTTTCAGAATAATTTGCAAGAGGCGCGGCGTAGCCGCGTCGAACTTTGCACAGCTGTAGGCAACTGAGTAGCGGATCCTTTGGCATCAAACATTATTTGTACCTTGAAAGGTGGTTGACCTATGACAGGCCAAAGTCAGGCCCCGGCAATCAGCGAAGGCAATTTCTGGGGAATCATTCAGTTTGATGCAACAACGGAGTGTTAGACAAAGCCCTATATCTCTGCGGTAATGTCTGATACAATTAGAAAAGTTGTTTTAGGATGATGACAACTTCTATTGAACTTGGGTCAGTTAGATATGTTGGTCAAGCTGAGCTCAAAACCAACCTGCTATTTTACTTAAGGCCCTGCTTTAAGAAGTAACGTGTGATCCTCTTTTCGAATTTTGTCATAAAAGAGACCACGTCAGATATCTTAACTGGACTTACAAAAGGTCAGAGAAGGTCGCTGACCTAGAATGACCCAGAGTAACCATTGGCTTTTAGGAGCACACCACCCAGCATAATCCTTGACGCTTATCGAAATTCCCAAATCAAAGCTTTCCCTGGGTTGTTAGTCACCGACCTTCTTAAGATCGACAAAGGTCACTAACTTAAAGAGAACGCTGGTGACCTTTTGCTCAGAACAGGTATGTAAGTTTTATGGCAGCTGCATGAGGACGTATCGGAACGCATTGGACAACCAATTGAAGTGTTTCTTGTTTGGCCTCATTTGAACCCAAAGGTCATCATGACCTGGGAGCCTCGAACTTTGACGCAAGTGAGCTTACATACAGGTCAATCCACCCTGGGTATTTAGTGCATGTAGCTCTCTTAGCCGTCAAATTGACCGCCACCCGAGCAAAGGGTATTCAACCGGCCACCCGGGCGCGTGTTGGCAGATAGGCCCCACCGACAACAGCGTAGGGCCTCCAAGCAGATAGGAAGTACGCATGACGCAATAAGAAGGGCTCGAACGATCGAGTGTGCCCGAGTAGGTTTACAGATGGGGATCCCTGTCAGGAGTGTAGTGCCCTCCATTCAAACAGGAAGTACCCAAGATCCAACGTGGAGGGCTCCAAAC